AACCCATCCTTGTAAATACGTCAAGCAAGTCCTCTTCATCACTTTCCTCCATTGTGCCCTGGAGGCCCTTGTCAACTGCTGACCTCTCAATGGGAGGAAGGTAGTTAAGGAATGATGAAATTAGGACGTCTCGATCAACTGAGTCAATGCCATGGATGCAGGCTAACATGAAAGCCTTTGATAGCCTCACTGGCATGACACCATGGTCTAATAATCCTTTCACCCAGATCCGCCCAACCGCTTGCCATTCAGCCTCACAGAAATCTGGCCTTAGCCTTGGAACCCGCTCTGTTTCCCCTTCACACTGTTCAAGAAATTGTTCCCAGAATGCACTGTAGCCCTCCCTTGACACACCAGCATCATCAATAGCTTTTTCATTTACAAACTTAATCTTTAAATTGAATTCCATTATGCTGCTGTCCATAAACACAGACAAAAGATCATCAACAACCTTGATCCTACAAATGGATGCATGCCATGGTGTCCTTGGATCTCCTAGATTGTTAGGTGAGGTTGAAGGGGATAGCTGACTGCTTGAAATTGAGAACAAGTCTTGCGGTAAACGATGTCGTCCATTATCCTGTCAGAATAAAACATACAACAAAAAACATAAAAAAGGTAGCAGAGGTGAAATATGAACTCAAATCAACTCTATTTCTTGAGCACTTTCAAACAGCAATCGCTGCATAAAAAGTGCTGTACATGGAGCAACTAACATATACAGTACAACAGTAAAGCAATAAATCAGTAACAAAGATGGTAGATAGTATCAAACAGTAAAACTAAGATCAAATCTGAGTCATTCTGAGTCAAATGCCAAAGAATACAAGTGAGTTTTGAGGTGGGTTTTAAAGATGGGCACCAAGGGGCAGGTCAGTGGGAGGTCATTCCAGAAAGAGGGACCAGCAACGGAAAAGGCTCTGTTCCCTCTGAGCCTCCATTTTGTTCTAGGTACTTCTAATAATGTTTGGTCCGCAGACCTCAGGCGCCGGGCAGGTGTGTAGGGGCGGATGAGCTCAGAGAGGTGATTGAAATGATGCCGGGTCCTATAAATGCCTGGCAAGGACCAACAAACTACGGTAAGCACTCAAGGGAAAATTGCAGTTCAAGACTAACATTAAAGTGAGCTCTGTCAAATAATTTCATGAAAGGTATTTTTGAAATTATATGCAGTATTTTGGTTTGTGGGCCGCCCAGTGGTTAGCGCGTCAACCTCACAGTGCAGAGGTCGTGGGTTTGATCCCGGCTCCGGCCTGCCTGTGTGGAGTTTGCATGTTTTCCTCGGGCCTGTGTGGGTTTTCTCGGGTACTCCGGTTTCCTCCCACATTCCAAAAGCGTACTTGGCAGGTTGATGGTACACTCTGAATTAGGTGTGAGTGTGAGCGCTGATGGTTGTTCGCAAAATAGCCTTCTGCTGGTCAATGGGAAACGGACAATACAGAATGCCAATTGGTTGCGTGTCGCCACGGATCACTACTCTCCACTAGTTTCAGTGGGAAAAGGGTATTATTATATTACTTCACAGTTGTGTAAAATCATTAAGTAGTTTAGAAAAAGCATTCAGGATTACTTGCAGTAGAGCTTACCTGTGCAGTCTGCGCTCCCTCCTCTTGTAGGGACTGTACAACTTGTGAAGCCAGTTCATTGGCAGAAGGCAACAGGAGTTGTGAAGCCTGTTCAGTCCCTCCATACATCTCAGTACTCTGAAGAATGAATTTAACAATGTGTTAAATGACAAATGTATGATTCTATGACCCATAAAATGTTTTAGCCTGTTTGAAGACTGTTATTTACAGTACACTGAAAGTCTTTCCAAATAGGCATTTTACATCTCTTGATCATCCTGTCTCCCTCCTCCCCACAAAACAAACAAAAAAATCATTTGGAAGTTACAGTAATTCCATACTGATTTTAAGAAATGTCAAAACAGAAACAATATAAAATACTTCAGGAACAGAGAAGTACAACTATGTACCGTCACTAATTAGCTGAAGATTTCACACTTTCAAATATGTATTTTAACACCTGCGTGAGTATTTTTACCTTACCCCAATGGTTACTGCCGCCTCATCCTGATCTATTCTAACAAGGCTGTCATCTGGATCCCATACAACTGTATCTGCTTCTTCAAATGTGTCATAACAGATGTACTCCAGCTCTGTGAGGAGGCATTGAGAACTGCTCTGTTCAGGTCAATAATTTCAAAGCAAGCGTCAGAGAAATCTTTGGAATTTGGCAGATTAATCCAAACGGCATCCTGTTCATTTGTGTTGGTGTCCTGCCCCTCGCCAATGTCTGTTTCATTATTTGTTGTTGGCATTGAATGAGACGGTTGGGATTTTCCTGCCCCTTCTGCTGTTCCAGTCTCCGTAATTCCTTAATTCCTTTTTGTTTTTTGAACCTTGCTTGCAAATGCAGACTCTGCAACAAATACAACAAACACATGTTGTGCAAACTATACAGATTAGGATTAAACTTCAGAACCAGTATTACATTGTTGTGAATTTTCCCTCAGATGCATTTTTAAGCAAACACTTTACGACTGTTCGTGTATTATGTTATGTGTTGTGTTTATTATTTTACTTCATGTTAACTGTTTTGTTGAGCGCTTTGTTATATTTTACTTTATGTTAACTGTTTTGTTGAGCGCTTACAGCTGCTACTGTTGTGAAAGCGCTCTATAAATCAGGATGTATTGTATTGTGAACGTGTTCATTGCTGGGACACACAATGTTTTTAGATTTTTGAAAGAGCAAAACGACTTCACTTCTGTTTTACTTCAATCCAACATGACAAAAATTGCACCAAGTGGCACAAACCTGTTCTCCAATGTCACTGTCAGACGAGT